GGAAAACACTTCGGAGAATCTCTCCTGTGGCCCCGGCTACTGAGACTCTGGTGCCTGGCTGCTGCTACAGGGTGTAAATCTTTAGTAGCTCAACAAGTGGTTTGTAGTTCAAGAAAATGGAGATCCTGAAGAGCTCTCCTCTGTCTGTAGTGTAAAGCTAGACAAACCAAAGTGCATGTGAAAAGGTTAAATTGATGGGAGGTTGAAGTTTCCCAAAAGCACAGTGTCAGGAGTTTCTGCAAGTGTTTAAAGGGTGTATCTATGACCAAAGAGTGTACTACTTCATTATGAAAAAGAAAAATTGCTGTATCTCCACTCGTTTAGATTCAGAGATCAATTTCATTATATTGCTCTAAGCTATTCCCATAAAGAAGTGAGAAAATCTGTACCTGTAGCAAATCTGTGTATAACTGTGTCCAGACAGCCGGGCTTTTACTTGCATAAAATCAGCTGTGGCCTTTATTTTGGTGAAGACAAACAAATTCACATTTAGCTCAATTAATTGCTGCGGTAAAACGCACAAGTGCAGACTGGCTGTCAGCAGTGCTGAGGAGGTGCTGCATACTTGGCTGCATTTGCACATGCTTGTGGAGCATCTTTTGCATCATGAGTGATATCTGATGCTCCACCACTCGTGATGTTCTTTATTGTTCAGATTTTTGAGCAAAAAAAATGTGCCAGTCCCACGACGAGCATGGGGTCCCTTGTTGGGATTTACACACTGGGGCACCAAAAGAAAGGGCCACTGTGGGGATGGTGTGAGAGCTGTGCCCCATGGCAGGCTGTCCTTGTGATTTGCCGAGCAGCTCTGCACAGGGCTCGCTGGCTCACACAGCCTCGGATCTCCAGGTAGTGCTAGGAGACATGGTTTTGGTCTCAGGAAGGTAAAACGAGCCCCCCAGGGCAGTGTGACCCCCCCAGGGCATGCTGCTGTGAGGCCCCAGCAGCAGGCAGAAGTGGTGAGGCTGGAGAGGCAGTAGACTCCAAAAGCAGGTGAGCAGAGAGGAGCTCTGGGGCTATCTTGGACCCACTGCTTTAAGGAGATTTCAGGGTAAGCCGTGACTGCTTCTTTTTGCAGCCCTGGGCTTTGCTGAGCACTGTCTGAAGGCCACAGCGCAGATACACCAACCAGAAAGTCAGCTTGGCGGTGGGGATGCACGCTCCTTTCCTTTCTGATGACAAATGCGAGAGAGCAAGGCAGCCAAACATCCTGAATTAAAATGATGCACTCCCTGTTGGAATGCCCCCCGTCCTGCTAAGGCGATGTCGAGCACCACAGCATATCACTGCAGTCAGCAAGAGGAAAGAGCTGTGGTAGCATCCTCTCCTCTGGCGGAGTGGGATGGTTTTTGGCTCCAGCTAGTGTGGCGTTAGGTGAGGGGTGGTTTTGCGTAGCTCCTGCAGTTTCCTTTTTCCTGTTTCTCCATGCTGTCGCATTTCTGCTGTGGTGTGCGCTGTGCGGGCACAGGGATGGATGAGTGGCGCCAGCAAGGGCAGAACCTTCACCAGCCATGACGGATAAAACTGCAGTGTTCCTCCTGGGAGCTATGTCAAAACATATGGAAGACAGAGAGGTGATTAGAGACAACCAACATGGCTTCACCAAGGGCAAATCAAACCTGACTAATCTAGTGGCCTTCTACGATGGAGTGACTGCATCAGTGGATAAGGAAAGAGCTACGGTTGTCATCTGGCTAGACTTCTGTAAGGCCTTTGATATGGTCCCCCACAACATCCTTGCCTCTAAATTGGAAAAATACGTGTTTGATGGATGGACTGTTAGATAGAGAAGGCCTTGGCTGGATGGCCATGTCCAAAGAGTTATAGTCAATGGCTCAATGTTCAAGTGGAAACCAATAATGAGTGGTGTCCCTCAAGGGTCATTACTGGTACGAATACTATTTAATGTCTTCATCAGTGACATAGACAGTGGGGTTGAGTGCACCCTCAGCAAGTTTGCAGATGACACCAAGCTGAGTGGTACAATTGATTTGCTTGAGGGAAGTGGTGCCATCCAGAGGGACTTTGGCAGGCTAGAGAGGTGGGCCTCATGAGGTTCAACAAGGGCAGGTGCAAGGTCCTGCACCTGGGTTGGGGCAATCTCCAATATCAGTACAGGCTGGGAGATGAAGGGATTGAGAGCAACCCTGCGGAGAAGGACTTGGAGATACTGATGGACAAGAAAGTGGGCATGCACCAGCAATGTGTGCTTGCAGCCCAGAAAGCCAACCATATCCTGGGCTGCATCAAAAGCAGCATGGCCAGCAGGTCAAGGGAGGTGATTCTGTCCCTCTACTCTGCTCTGACGAGACCCCACCTGGAGCACTGCGTCCAGATCTGGAGTCCTCAGCATAAGAAGGACATGGACCTGCCACAGCAGGTCCGGAGGAGGGGCACACAAATGATCGGAGGGATGGGACACCTCTCCTATGAAGAAAGACTGAGAGAGTTGGGGTTGTTCAGCCTGGAGAAGAGAAGGCTTCAGGGAGACCTTATTGCAGCCTTTCAGTACTTAAAGGGTGCCTACAAGAAGGACAGAGAGACTTTTTACCAGGGTCTGTGGTGATAGGACAAGGGGCAACAGTTTTAAACTAAAAGATGGTAGATTTAGATTGGATATATGGAATAATTTTTTTTTATGATGAGGGTGGTGAGACACTGGAACAGGTTGCCCAGAGCAGTTGTAGATGCCCTGTCCTTGGAAGTGTTCAAGGTCAGGTTGTACGGGGCTCTGAGCAACCTGATCTAGTGGAAAATGTCCTTGCTTATGGCAGAAGAATTGGCCTAGATGATCTTTAAAGGTCCCTTCCAACCCAAACCAGTCTATGATTCTATAAATTACTGTATGTTTTGTTGGCCATATGTCAAGTGACATACAGCACCTCACTGCCTTTGGAAAGTTTTATCCACTCTCAGTAGACGTTTAGCTCCATAGTCATTAGGCTGCACCTCTGCTGGAGAAGTAACATGCCTGGGGCTGAGAGCAAACCCTCCTGGCCCTGGGAGCTGCCCGTGGTGGATGGCCCTCTGCTGTGCTCCTGAGCTGCCTCCATGGATGTTTAATTTACCAGGGGAGGCGTAGCCTTAGGGTATGTCTATGCTGTGCAGGGACAAGCCGTTTTGAGGCCAGGGTGAGCTCAGCACAGGCTTTCCCAATGCCAGCTGCACGAAGCTTGGCTGGGATCTTCCGCCCAAGGACACTGAGCCTGGAGCAGGGTCTGTGCTGCTGAGCAGGTTAGCAGTGCGCTTGTGTTCAGGAATGGGCTCATCGCTGGTCTTCACTCCATTTCAGTACCGGTCCGTGCCATGGTGGACGCATCAGGCAAAGCACGAGAGCCGGGATGGGAGCGCGGGGCTGTGAGTGTGCTGCGTCTGGGGGGCTGCAGAGCCCCGTTTGCTTTCCCTCTAGGTTGGACAGAAGATACGGCTGAATTGCTGGCTTTCCTTGCTGTCGAGTGGCTTGGTGGGGACAAGCTTGTTCAAGCAGCACTGTTCGCTTTTAGGGCAGGGCTTTAAAATGGCCTTCGCTTTTCATCTTGTTCTGCTGCAGTTGAAGGCAGTGATGGGTTATTGTCAGTAGAATTAGGCCAACACTGAGACCTTTTGAAAACTCCACTTTGAGAGGCTGTGAAGACAACAGTAATCATATTTATTATGTATTTATATAGCACAAAATCATCTGTCTAAAAAATAGCGTTCATGGATCTTTGAGGCCAAATGGGGTAAATATACCTGTTCATTAGGTCTCCTGCCTTGTGTAGGGTACAGAAATAAAGGCAATGATAGCTACAGCAAGTCTAATAGCTTATGGTTAAGCTAAAATACAGCTTTCAGAAGGTGCTTGGTTGCAGACTTCAGGTGGGGTCCAGCAGCCAGTTTATTTTCCAGCCAAAGTGGGCTCTGACAGACATGTCCCACATGGTCTGGGTTGGGTCTCTTAGACAAGTGCGATGTAGAAAGTTCACAAGTTTGGCATCTGGGCTGAGGAGTGGCTCAGCCTGTGCTCAGCGAGGCTCTATGTGGAGCTACTCACCCTGGCCGAGGCTCCGAGGCTGCCTGTGCGGTGGATGGAGGGATGGAGATGGGTCCAGTGCAGACAAGCTTTGAGCTGCTCCCTGCTTGAACTTCCCCCTTTTGAAACAAAGGCAGTCTCCCTTCTCGAGCTCGCAGGGCTGAAATGCAGGACAGAAGCGAGGGACTCGGGTCCTGCCTGGCCACCAGCCGCAGGATTGCCCTCACTGCTAAGACGTCCTCCTGGGTTATCCTCCAGCCATTGCAAATTGTGACTCGGGTGGATTAAAGAGCTGCCCGCCGTCAGAAAGCCTAACACACAAGTAGGTCCACTGCCAGCTCACTTCTTATCCTTCCCCGACACGAGCCTGGTGGGTGATGGATGCCGTTAGTCAGGGAATGACACAATGAGGTCTCGCACTGGAAGATGTCTTTCGTGGCTCGCCGTGATTGACCGGGGCTGTGCTTCCAGCAGCTCTGCAGCAGCCCTTCCCTTTGCCGCTTGCTAAAGCCGCTCAGGGACGCTGCTTCGCTCACATCACTTCCTTTCGCCTCCCAATTCGGCCGACCAGCCGGTCTCGCTCCAGGCAGGGAGCGGTGTTCGAAGGGTGAGTAATGCATCCCTTGTGTTTCCTTCGAGCCCGCCGGCTTACGCTTCTCAGCGGTGGGGTTTGTGGCAAGGGGGGGCAGGGAGAGGCTGGCTGGCTGTTGAAATGTTAGCTGTGCACCTAGGCAAAAATGCCGTTTTCAAGTCAATGCTTCCTTTATCCATTCGTGCCAGATGTATACATCACTGTCAAGAGCAGGCGAGGAGACAATTTACCCAGTCCCTGCTGCGATAGTTGGTATTTAGGAGTGACTAAGGACCGGAATCATGACCGTACAGTTATAACCCTGTTAATAAACCGTGCAGTCATTAGGTGAAAGCTCTTGCGCGCGTTTCGGGGGCGCGCGGCTCTAACGTCTCCCCTGCGTGTGCTTCCCTGCAGCCGACAATGCCAGCCGCCCTTCCCGCCGCCCCCGGCCCAGCAGCACAGCCCCATGTCCTCGCAGGCCACCGCCGCCACCGGCCCTCCGCTGCCGGGCCCCTTGCCCCCGCTGCCAGCCCCCGCCGCTACCCAGCCACCGACATCGACGCCACCGGGCCAGCAGCTGACACCCGACGCCTTCGCCATCGTGGAGCGGGCGCAGCAGATGGTGGAGATGCTCTCCGAGGAGAACCACATGCTGCGGCAGGAGCTGGAGGGGTACTACGAGAAGGCAGACAAGCTGCAGAAGGTATGTGGAGGGATGGATGGGGCCTGGGCAGGGCAACCATCTTGGTGCTTCTTCATCATTATGTCACTGCAACGGGGACACACCAGTGGCCACACCACTGGCCCCACCAGTTAACCATTACCTCTCCATGGTGGTCTCACAGAAGTGTAATCCTGTGCCCCATGGCCTGTGGGCTCCACTGCCTTTAGGGTGAAATGGGGCAGCCCATCACACGTCTCACAGCTGGGGACTTTCCCCATCCATCCTTCCATGCTGGCCTCACTGGAGCTTTCTGGGGAAGTCTCCCATGGGCAGTCTGCTCCTGGTGCAGCTGGGTCCTGCACTATCTGCACAGGCGGTAGAGCTGCGGGTGAGCAGCATTTGAAGAGCACGGCCACATCTGTCCTGAGCACCTGGTCTTGTCCACCACAATATGCTCCCGTGGCACTCCACATTCCTTGGAAGTGTAACAGCTTTCAGTGGGGTTGCCCGTTACTTGGAAATGTGTCAACTTGGTTGTCCTAGGGGCTTTCAGTGACTGCTCAATGGGTTTCTAAGAGCTGATGTTAGACACCCACCTTTGAACATGTTGGTTCAAAAAGCACTGCCCCATTATCTGAAAGAACCATTTGGTAAAGGTTTTGCTCAGAAACCCTTTTGCAAAGAGATCCTGCACCCTCTTTTCTGTAGGCAAGCTGGCATTTTCAGTGGAGAAGGGCGATGTCTTGTGCACTGCCTGGGGTGACAAGATGAAGAGTCAAATCAAACAAAGTAGAAGTTGCTTAAAACTGAGAATTCACTGAAGGCAATGCAGAGATCCTCCCCAGATCTGCTGGCTTTGGGTCCCAAGGGCCCAGACCAAATAAGTTATTTAGGATTCTACATTGCTATTTCATTTATGTATTCCCACTGCTTATGCACAAGTGGGCTTAGGCTGCAGGTCTTTTCTCTCTGAATTTAAGAGTCTAAATAGGAGCTCAGTTTTTATTGTGTTATGTGGGATCAGGGTGTTCTTGGAGACACCCGTTGCAGGAGAAGAGGCAGCTCTGAGAGACCATGTCCCACCCTCAGCTTTGGGAAAAATCTGTGACAATCTGTTCAAACAGGTTAGAAAGAAGACCTGTTGATTTCTAGCTGCTGTTGTCTTTTCAGCCGCCTCCTCTGCAACCAGATGAGTTGAGTTTATTCACAGGATTTCCTAAACTTAGTTGAGAAATTTTTGCAGCAACATTAACTGTTTGTGAAGACGTCTGCAAAGATTTTGACGCTGACTTCCCTGTGGCCTTCGTGGGCAAAAAGAAATATTCCAGCTATTAATTTTACAAAAGCTGCGTTGTTCAGTAAAAGGTATTTGAGTGCAATGCCCTAAAAATACTTTGATTTCCTTTTACGCTCTTGGAAATGGCTCTGTCTTTATCTTGGATGCCCCGTGAGTCGATTGCATCAGACACCAACAGAAAGGTATTCAAGCATGGGCTGAAGTCTCACTTCAGTCAACAGAGCGTGGACTCAAGTCCCATTGACTTTGGGGGAATGTAAGCGGAGTATTAAAGTGAAACACATGCTCAAGTGCATTCTTTCTTCAGGAAAATGTCCTGAACCAAAGCCGTAACACACAGTATCCCTCCCATGCTGTTTTTCCTGTGTTTGAACACAAGGACAAGGCAGGTCCTCCTCTGTTCCCACAGTTCCAGCTGAACATCACCTCTGAAAACGTGCCAGTGAGGTAAATTACATACTTTGGGTGTGAAAACTCTTCCCTCTTATTGGAAGTGGAAGGGTCATGAGGAGTACTTCTTGTTTGTCTGTGCGTAACAATTTTATTCTGGGTAGGGCCACCCTCCCGTCACTTTTATTCATTACAGAATAGGAGAAGAAATTAGGGAAAATCAGCTTGACGTGGAGGGCTCCCTGGGCGTTCGTACGAACAGATCAGCCCTGAGGGTTGTCAAAATCTCAGTCGCGTCTGAACGGGCTTTTTGCAGAGGTACAAGGTGGTGATTAGCCCCTGTGCTGTTTGACAAGTGGTCCGGTTTTCTTACCTAAAAAGATCTGGGGGGGGAAGAGGGGTTGTGCACATTTAATTTTGAGCTTTTTTTGTGAAAGCAAAGCGTTATTTTATCTTTTTTTTTTCTGTTGTTCTTTTGTTGGGTGGTGTTACCTTGCTGAAGTTTAATTGCCAGGCTGGGCTGGCTCTTCCCCATGCCTTGTGTGTGGGTTGTTTGAGTGGGTTGGCTCTAGGAGCTACCAGGCAGAGAAGAGGCTGAACCGTTTTTTCCCCCTCCATAGAAGGTGGTGAAGGAAATCCCAGAGCTGCTGAGAAACACCAACACAATTCATGGCTGTTCTTCTGCTCTCCTTTAATTTTGTTCAGTGCTGATGGAGGTTCTTTCTTTTCCTGCAGCAAGTCTTTGCCTGCGGGGCTGCAGGAGACTTGCGTGGTGATGTGTTTTGGGAAATAACGGCAGATAATGGGCAGAGCAGAGCCCTTGTGATAACCAGCAGTGTTGGGCAGGACTGTCGGGCTGTGGAAACCCCCTGCCATGTTGGCAAATCTGTTTTGCTGCGGTAGGAGCTCTCTGGAGCAGGCATCTCTCCTGCAGATAGTGGTTCACCCAGGAGAGAGGAGGCGCGGGAACTGGCGGCTGTCTGGGCACACAGCTGAACACGGTGTCTGGTTGGGATCATGCAGTTAAGGGTTCAGGAAAGTGCTTTAAAAATTATTTTTGCTAAGCCAAACCTTCCTTTCAAGGAGAGAGAAGCTCTATCTGCTTAAATGGTCAAGGAGAGCAATGCAAGGGAGCTTGAATATAGCCTCTAACTACTTATAGGATGAGAAAACTTGCTAGCAGAGGTCACACTGATCTAAAGAAAAAGCTGTAACAGAATCAAGTAGCTGAAACTACGCTGTTATTGGAGTAACTAATCGACATGTCATTTTGATTCTGGAAAATGGACATGAAACAGATTTTTGATTTTAGGTCATAGTCATAGAACAGAATAGACTATTCCAGTTGGAAGGGACCTACAACAATCACCTAGTCCAACTGCCTGACCAGTATGGGGCTGATGAAAAGTTAAAGCGTGTTGTTAAGGGTATTGTCCAAATGCCTCTTAAACACTGACAGGCTTGGGCCATCAACCACCTCTCTAGGAAGCCTGTTCCAGTGTTTGACCACCCCCTCAGTAAAGAAATGCTTCCCAATGTCCAGTCTAAACCTCCCCTGGCGCAGCTTTGAACCGTACCCGCATCTCCTATCACTGGATCCCAGGGAGAAGAGGTCAGCACCTCCCTCTCCACGTCCCCTCCTCAGGAAGCTGTAGAGCAATGAGGTCACCCCTCCGCCTCCTTTTCTCCAAACTAGACAAACCCAGTGTCCTCAGCCGCTCCTCACAGGACATTCCTTCCAGCCCTTTCACCCGCTGTGTCGCCCTCCTCTGGATGCATTCAAGGACCTGAACATCCTTCTTAAATTGTGGGGCCCAGAACTGCACACAGTACTCAAGGTAATTTTGTCAAAAAAGTTCAGACTTTTTGATGAGGCTTTGTACAAGCTTGCGTTGCCATGCATATGAGGAAAAATAAAACTCCTTGACTTTTTGTGAACGACAGTAAGGTTCAGTCTGAATTTCAAGCCGGTTTGGATTTATGCAGTGTTCCTCTGAGCATGCTGTCCTCATGGTGGGAACACGCGCAGTGTCTGGCCATGCATCAGCAGGGTGGGGAAGAAGGACCAGCTTTTCTAGATGTGGTTAGGGAAAATGTAACGGGGCTTCCTGGAGCTCTGCTTTAAAAAAAACAAAATGGAAAGTCAGACTAATCTGACTAAGTTTGTAGTTCACTCAAGAAGGAGTGTCATAGCGTGGGATACAGCCCGATCAACAGTTCATCCTCCTGGAGCTGTGGAGAATTGTCAGCTGAGAACTAATCTGGTACCTGTTAATGTCATGCATGTAGAGGAGCAGCTTGTATGTGTGTGAAATACCTGCGAGCTGTTAAGTCACCACCGTTGTGAGATAGGTGATGTGATACCCAGCAAGGTACTAATCCAAAGCTGCTGGTGTCACAGGGGCCACACTGTGGGCTTTGCACATCGCCACTTGTTTCAGCTTTTGTGCCTGAGCGAGCTGAAAGCAGAAATCGGGGAAGGTAGCCAGGTTTCCCCAGCACGGCACTGCCGGGCTTTCCTCAGCGTGCGGTTCAGAGGTGCCACGTACCTGTGGGCCATGTCCAGACAGAGTGGCCCTGGTGGCGTGGGAAGCGCAGGTCTGGGCTGCTGGAGCCTAGCCACAGGTTCCTACGCAGACAGCGGGGTGGCAGCCCCAGCATCCCTGGAGCTTTTATTCTGCAAGCACTGCAGCTGGCAAATTACACCTAAAGCTTAACAAGCTCTGGAGAGGGACCTACCTCCACAGCAAGTGGAGGTGGGCTCACACCCTGGCTTCACAAATCACAGATCCATCTCACCCATGATTCAAGAGGCTAAAAAAGTGCCAGATTTAGAAAGGTATGTGGGAGGCTATATATATCTCGTGGTTTTCCAGCCTGTGCACATTATCAAGCTTTTCTCCACAAACACAAGGGCCAGGCATGCAGGAGCAGATTCCCGCATCAGTGTTGATCATTCCTACAGCAATGATTTTAGCAAAGCTGTAACACTTAACACAATGTTAGCTTATTAAAAGAGTTGCATGGGGTTGACCTGAACAGCAAAACTCTGCCCAGGACTATCTTCCTGTCAGTCTTTTGGGCTCAGGTCTTGAGATGCAACTTCACTGCTAAGGGCTTCCTCTGCATGCCCTGCCTGCAGTTTGCCAGATTTCAAGGAGATGAAATTAAGAAGCTTGAAAACCCAAAACAGTTGGTTTGGTCCGTTATAGAGAGTTTCTTCTTGTATAGAGCAGTCTTCAGTCAAGGACAGAAAGGAGTGGAACACAATAGTTTAAATCTGACACGAGGTCAGAGCTGAGCCTAAAACACTTCTGGTGGCATGCAGAGCTCAGAGCTAAGCTTTGGTTCAGGGATCTGGCAGAATAATAAATCTTGCCCCCTACAACCCTTTCTAGGGAAGAATACAGCTCACACAAATACACTGTTTCCTTTGTTTCTCCTCTTGGATGGCATTAAAGCAGCCACCTGGGTCACAGAGCGAAGGCAACCGAGTGGCTACATCAAGTCCAGCCCACCCCAAGCTTTTCAGGGAGCTGCCAGCGGGATGTTATGGGGTGTTGTGGCGTGGTAAGCTGCCCCACAGGGCATTTGGAGGGGTCCCCACTACAGGAACCTCCAGCTCTGCCAGGGCTTTGCACCATCCTCTGCTGGGGAGATTGGTCATTGTAGAGCTGGTGGCTGGTGTGACACTCGACATAAGCATTGCCCCGACCCCCACGCCCCATCAAAACACGCTGGGCAAATGCTGGGATGGGGCGCGTTCCTGCTGGGCTTTAACAGGAGCTCTCTCTCCTTTCAGTTTGAAATAGAGATTCAGAGGATTTCAGAAGCTTATGAGGGCTTGGTCAAGACCACCACTAAGAGGGAGTCTCTGGACAAAGCAATGAGAAACAAACTTGAAGGAGAAATTAGGAGACTTCATGACTTCAACAGGGATCTCCGTGGTACGTTACCCTTGCTTGTGGGTTTTTTTTTCCCCTGGTTGACATCGTGCTTCTCTTCTCACAAGCTCCAGAGCAGCAGACTTTAGAGGAGTAACTTCACATGTGTTTTAGATAAATGTCTTAAGAAATCAGGCCCTGCTCACTGGCATAAGACAAAACTGCTGTCACCCCCCGGTGGCAAGGAAACCTTCTGGCAAAATGCAAGAGTTAGCTTAAGATGGTGCCTTTGTGTTTAGCACTTGCAAATATTGATTTGACAGCAAGGCCACCAGTCACAAAGTCTCGTCCAGCTCTAATGAGCTGAAAAGCAAGTTGCAATATAGAGCAATGCTGTACAACCCATAAATCTCAAAGTTCAGTGCCTTCACGAACCAGTAGCATGTATGAAAGAGTATCTCTTTTTTTGTATTAAAAACATAAAATTGAGGGTATATCCTTTTGAGAAAGCAAATGGAGGATATGTTGCGTAGCACCTGTCCAGGTTCCTGACTGGGGGTACTTTGGTACTTCCTTGTGCAGTGAGATGCCTTCTGCAGGCTGGCTCATGCTTTTTGCAATGGTGCAAGGAGGGTTGCATGGTCTTTTTGGAGGAGGGAGGCACTTGAAGGCAGGACCTTCCCAGGGGAAGCTGTCCCTGGCTGCAGAAAACTGCTCCTTTCCCAGGGCATCCCCAGGGATTGGTGTCACTGGACTGGGGGCTGCCTTCCCCCAGGGTGCTGGGGGCGGCACCAGGGGCAGCACTCTACTGCGGGAAGGCACCCATCCCCTTGCAAAGCCGTGTAATTTGGATTGCAAATGCCTTGTGCATTTTGGACAGTGAGAGATGAAATGCCTGGGCATGTCAGCTGTGAATGGCAGAGACTTTTCCCCCAGTTTCTGTAAATCCAAATGACACAGCTTCATGGAAGAGGTCAAAGGCCTCATCTTTTATGTATGTGTCAGCCTCCATTTTAACATCCTCCTTCAGAGAGTCTATTTATACTGCTCTGCTGGCATGCATCTTATTTTCTTGGTTGGCCTACAATTTTATATACATATATTTATACTTAAAGTATTTCCTGTTTTTTGCAGAACGACTGGAGACAGCCAATAGGCAGCTAGCCAGCAGAGACTTCGATGGGCATGAAGATAAGTCAACAGAGGGCCTTTATGTCACTCAGAGTGAGTACTGTGCTAATCTGTTTTGAAGGTACATATATATATACGCACACATATATATGTGCTGAAGCGGAGGTGAATACTTTGCAATTAATTGTTATTGTCCTTATATCTTGGTTTTACTCAGCTAATTCGTCACATACTCTTATTTAAGCTGCAGACTGGATTGTTTAGGCTGTTTTTTTTTTCTCTCTGAGCACCAGAACCAGGCAGTGGGAGTTAATGGTAACACAATCTAGCTTATTTTTGATAAATATTTATCTGAAGTTGTGAAGTGTTGCTTGCGGGGATCATCTCTGGAGATGCACGGTTTTTAGAGAAGCCAGATTCTTCTCTTGGCTGGGATAAGCCCAGAGCAACCTCTGCTGACGCGTTGTCAGTGACAGGCAGTGACTAACAGGAGGCAGAGCAGGGCTGGATCACAAAGGATGGAAGAGACAAAGGTTTTAGAACTTCTACTGCTGTGAAAAACATCCATTCCTGTCAAATTTTAGGCTCCCATAATGACTGAGCACAGTGCTGCAGCATTCCCCTGCCATGTGCTGATGACTGTGTGACCAGCCAAACCAAAACCTGACCACCTGGGTGCTGCATGACAGCACGTGGCTTCTTGCGCATCCTGAGCATCTTCAGAACGCTTCCAGAAGGGCTTCACCACCCGGGAGCTGTGCAGTACCTTGCGGGCTTAAATCCCATTGAAGCTAAATGCTGTGTACAGCCAATTCTTCTGTTTTACTTACTGCACTTGGAAGATGAACTGCAACTGCAAATCCTTAGGTGGAGAACTGGCTGCCTCCGTTAGCAGTGCGGTGTTGGATACCACTCAGCATGCCTCGCTGCCAGCCCTGCGACGTCCACCATGCTCCAAATGCAGGAGAGCCTTCTCCTAGCTCCCACCAGCAGCGACGATGCCAGCACGGCAACTTCGCTGATAATTGTGCATGTGTGCACAAACCAGAAGAGAATCTAACGATCTTCTCCATGACTCTGTTAGCTTTGCCATATTAGCATATGCCACAGGGGCGTGTAGGTACTGCTGTGAATCCAAGGGGATGATCTGTTAAGAAAATAGCATTGCTATCTAAGTCTCCTCATCCTTGGGAAGAGTTCAAATGGGGTAAGTTACACAGTGCAAATTGCAGACTCAGGTCTGCTGTCTTCGTATAGAAACAGCCCGGCAGTGTTCCTGTATGCTGGTAGCTGCAAGGGGGAGTTAAATCCTCAGGAGGGACTGAATTTGAGACATTTTCCAGTGCATAAACACACTCTGTGCTTCTACTGATAAATATCTAGCAATAAAACTTCGTGCTGTGCACTCAGCATATTACTGCTATCAATTCACAGCTTACAAACAAATATAGCTTTTCGTATCCTATCACATAAGACAGGCTGGATGCTTGGAGTGTCTCCTGGCCAGCCCAGAGAGCTAAATGTTACCAATGCAATGCAGAGTGCTTCCAAGAATAGAAAAATGGGCACATGTAAAGCAGGTCCTCTTCAGTCATGTTCTTTGGGCTGCTGCGGCACATGCAGTAATGACCTCGATATCGGGGTATCAGCCTAAAACACCCTGCTGAGAGCCCATAAAAGGTTTTGCTTGGGAATCCTCTGTTGCTGACAGCATTTATATGCTGATGTTTGTGAGCCTTCCCCAGGGGCAGACCATGACTGGGGTTGCACCTCACTGCCAACCTGGGGTGAGGGTTTTGCAAGCATGGTCTGTACCCTCCTCGTGTCTTTTGATGGGATGCTCAGGCAGAAAACTGAGAGGAGAAGGGGTGCAGCTTGTTTTAGCTGCTGTGTGTACATTTGTCTACTGAGGCTGAAACAGTCATTTTTAGAAGAAGAGAAAAAGTGGTGCCTACAAGCACTCCCATCAGCTGTTGCAATTTTGTCGTGAAACTCATGTTTGTTTTTTTCCTAAGGGTAGTAGCTTGTTAAGTCAGATTAGTAAATGCAAATCTTAGTTTTCATTAGGAAAGCAAAAGCAGATTTCTAGTCCCTATGTTTATTGAAAACAGCCTGAAAAGATGACCCTTAACATCCCCAACCCAAGTTACATAAAAAGACTCCAACATCAGCAGGTTCCTAAAAGTTATCATTTTTAAGCCAGTCTCATGATGAGATGAAGAAGGAAAGATAAAACTCCTCAGTTTTTTTTTTTAACACTTGTCCCTGGTAATACTGCAAATTCAGAATTAATACTGTGGCAAAACTCCAGTAACAGGAAAAAATCCCTGAAAAAGAAGTCTGGCACGGCAAGACAGGCAGGAATCATTTCTCAGTTCCTTGCAGAGCTCTCCATTAGTAGTGCAACAGTGCAGAGCAGTCGTGGAGAGTGGAGGTGACAAAAACTCTTATTCTTTGTAATAATAATAGGCAAAGCCAGGCTGATTGCCTCGAAGTATTAAATGCTAGGCATTTACACCTCAGAAAAATGCTACTGTTGCGTTGGGGGTAGGAGAGAACTATCTAGGGAAAGCTGATTTCAGTTTTTAACATGTGAAGGTCAAATTCTTCCCTGACTTGTACTTCATGACATGCAAATGGAAACGTCCTAACTGTAAATCAGACCATGCTTAAGCTGCCTGCGATACTTTGTAGGGTAAGGAAAGCCATCATGAGTTTCGATAGAGATTCAGTGCCTTCCTCTGACAACAGTGCATCAAACCTTTCTGCATCCCTGCTTAGGTCGGTGACCACAAGTAACCGTGTTCCAAACCATTTATTAAGTACGTTACAATTGATCATAATTATTAATGCCAGTGCAGAATCCCTGGTAATCACCATGTGAGAAAACGGCCTCAGGATCTCGAGCACAATCTCCCACAGCTGCTCAGCCTTTTCTTGTTGCTGGCATGGTCCAAACTCCAGAGAGCTGTTGGGAATGTGCTGTTTGTGAGTGAAACTGCCGGAGAAGATTGCAATGAGCTGTGTTGGTGTTTGGCTGGGGTGCAGGGGTTAAAGCTGCCGCTGCTTGTGAAGCGTGCAGGGTGAACCTGTGCTATCATAATGTAGTGTTTAGTTATGAGTGGCTTTGAGGGTACGCATTCAACTGATACAGGTAAACGGTACGTTAAAAACGTATTTCTTGTTTTTATTTCAAGATTGATCAGATCAAAACCTTCTGTTGAGCATGAGGTCTGTGTGAAAAGCTGGAGGTCACATCTGAGTATAGTGAAGGGGTGGCAGAGATTCTATCTGTCTGTTTCTGCTTCCAAGGAGGGTCAAGACTGGTCTACTCTTGGTGTACCTACCCAGCTTGACAACTCAAAAAGCCTGTTTGCAAAGCACCAAAGCAGGATTTTGGCTTTATCTTCTTCTACCTAGCCACAGAGTATCAGTGTAATGTCCTCAGTGTATTGAGATACAACAGTCAGAGGCAGTAGGTGGAAAGCTGTGAGATTACAACTGTAAACTACAGCAGAGAAGCTTTTTGAGGACTGTTCAGTAGCGGGATGTACCAGTGACCCATCAGAAAGTAGAAATAGTTATTAGCTGGAGCCTGTTAGGTAAAAAGCACATGCCTGGACAGAAGGTACATGCAAGTGTAGCACAGTAAAACAGTATTTTCAGACTTTAAGGGTACCTGTATGTACTTGAAGAGAATTTAAGGTATGTTCAACAAAGACCTTCTTTACTAAAAATTAATGCGATATGGGAAAGTACTTATAAAATGTGCCTCCAGCATTTTGCAGGGAGAAGCTGATGTGGAGAAGTGTTGAGAGCTGCTAAGTAAATTTTTCTTGTCAGCTCTCTAGTGGGTTCAGTGGTGATTTTGTACACAGCATAATCTTGTCCTCCTTTTAGGGGAGGACAGAAAACATAATGCAGCAGAGCGAGCTGAGTGCTTCAAGTTCCTTGGAAGAAAGTTGAAAGGGAAGGTCTCAAGTCCTGTTTTTCTATGTGCTGTCCTCCTATAATATGGGTTTCAAATCTGGAGCACAGCAAGTGTGGTCCCAGCATGAGATGGTGGAGTGCCACAGGGCTGAAATAGCATTCCTCTTCCAGTTTCTTCACCCTCTAATGAAACTAGCTGCTTGATGATTTGCCCAGATTTGCACTTTTGTACAATAGATATTAATGTTCCTTCTGGTGAATCTGATTGAAGTAAATGTCTTTGCGTTGAAGGAAGAGACCAGCATGTCCAATATAAAATTTCTTGCTGACATGGGAAGATTAAGGCAACGTCATACCGAGATAGTTCATGGTGGCAGTCAGTGGCGTGGCGTGCACAGCGCTCGCTGGGCTTTGCAGAGGCCACTGTGCCGGTGGTGCTGCCAGGGAATGTTTTTCTGAGGTGCTGAATTCCTCCTTTTAGGATAAATGGGAAGACGGCCGGGTGGGTTTGGGCTCACCTCGGCCACCTGTGCCTTATTCCACATGGCTCAGCTCATACACATCTCACCTCGCTGCAGGCACCTACTGGTAGCGTGTAAATTAAACTTGTTCTCATCCCGCTTGTAATTAAGGAAGAATAAGGCCCTCCTGGGGGCAGTTCAGGTCTGAAATGGGCTGGCTTAGGCCATGTGAATTTTCCTGACCCTCCTCGGGGGGAGGTGGATGATGAGGCTTCCAGCTTGAGTGGTCATGCTTGGGTTGGGACAGGCTGGACATTAGGGGCAGATTTTCCACATTTTGATGTTTTTGGAGCAACTTTTCACTTCAGTTAAAAAATAATAAATTCTGTAATGCTGTGTTTAAAAAGTAAAAATCAAAACAATGTTTAATTGACGCCAAATTAATTTTTGGAGGAAATTTTCCTTGCTGGAGGCTTGCCAAGTGCTCTATTTTTGTTGTCATTCAGAACAAAGGCAAGATTTTGAAATCTTGGATTTTACTGAATGAAACCTCCATCCTCTGCTCCTTCCAATCATTAACGGTTTGCAGTCCAATGTCAGGGATCCAGCAATTGGCCCGTGATGCTCATGTTCCCTGAAATGGCTTCTCAGCACTGTCAGGGCAGAGGTGGATGGAGACGAGCCTTTCCCCAGGCAGCTCGCCAACGAAGTCAATGGTGGGCCTGCAGTTTGTTGCTGAAGAAAAAGACGAGAACAAAGCTGACTGAATTTAGCCTTGGTTTTTTTTTAATGTCTTTTTAAATCTTAACCAAAAAAGGGATGATTTTTCAGCACAGAGGTTATCTACATGTTTTAGTCTCACTCCTGGTGTTTTAAGGCGCTTAATAAGGGAGAAGCACCAATCACTGGACCCTTAGAGGAGGACTGGAAAGCCATCCAGGGCCCCCACAGGGTGAGAATGCCTGCCACAGCCCCCCTTTCTCTGTATGGCCAGAGAAAGCCTGTTCAGATGCCTCCTATCTTCTTCTTACTTATTGCTTTCCCCTCTTTCCGTTTTCAAGCTGTCCAGCACAAATCTGTGTTTATTATTTGGCTTCTTCACATGTTCTGAATCTCATGATCTCCATCCTTGCAAATAAAAATGGACCGGGCATGGCACAGCCTGCATCCACATGGCTGAGGTTTCTTGCCCCTTAGAGAAGGGCAGCAGCATCCAAGCTGGCAGCTATAAACAGTCCTTGATGTAGGCTGTCCTCAAGCAGGGCCTGGGCGTTGTGTGGGAAAGGAGTAGCTAGTGCAAGCCAAAATTTTGCTGGGAAATGTGCTAGTAGTTCAGCAGAATGGACAATTATGAGGCAGTGCTCAGGTCCACAAGCTCTGCTAGTGCAGATGCAGCTCAGCTGCCACGCATTTCTGCTGCTGGCACTCACGTAAAGCTGGGCATTGAGAGGCTGAGCCTTGGCAGTAGAAACTCCCTGCCCGCTGTGTCTCAGCACTGTGTTGTAATGGCCCCACTTGCTGCTGCTCCACATAATTTTTGCTTTTCTAGAGACGTGGCAGTTTACCTCTGGCACGGGTCCCCGGACCTGTGAGCTGTCCTTCTGGAGCGGCTCTTGTTGTCTTTCTTCCAGACAAGGAGCACTTGAAGGAGAAGGAGAAGTTGGAGATGGAGCTGGCAGCTGTGCGCTCTGCCAATGAGGACCAGCGGAGGCACATCGAAATCCTCGACCAGGCCCTAAACAACGCGCAAGCCAAGGTCATCAAACTGGAAGAGGAGGTGAGGCATGGGCAACGTTTCTCTGCTCTGAGGCTAGCGGTGGCTCACGGTTAGGGCTTTCTCCATCCAAGTCCTGAATCTCTTCTAGCCATGGTGTGGCAGGTCTTCCTGCTCTCCTTGAACTGGCCCTCTTATAGAGAAATGCGTAGTTATACAATACTGAGACAAACAAGCAAGCAAAGGAGACCACAACCATAGATGTTTTCAGAGCAGAGCCTTCAACGTGTAACCAGGAGCAACACCAAACTCAGCTAGCTGGTGGCTGAGGTAATGGTAGGACTTAACAGAAATATCAAATAAAAAGCTGACTACTTACTGACTTGGGACTGCGATACAAACATGTGATGTTGGTGCATCCCATTTTTCCCCAAAGAATGCCAGGAAGCTTTTGAGATGTGCACAGCAGCACAGGGCTTCGTAACTTCACATCTGAACAGTAGCCTTAAAAGAACTGACTGATCTGGCTGGAGGCAGACCTTACAGGATTTAGAGCTACAAAGAACTACAGGTTTTATGTGAGAGCTGGGAAAAAACCTGTCATAGCATGAGACCCAAGAATTGCCATCTGTGCAAAATCTCTTCTCCCAAGTAACAAGTGATAGGACAAGAGGAAATGGCCTGAAGCTGCGCCAGGGGAGGTTTAGGTTGGGTATTAGGAAAAACTTCTTCACTGCAAGGGTTGTCAAGCACTGGAACAGGCTGCTCAGGGAAGTGGTTGAGTCCCCATCCCTGGAGGTATTTAAAAGACAGGTAGATGTAGTGCTTAGGGACATGGTTTAGTGGTGGACATGGCAGTGCTAGGTTAACGGTTGGACTCGATGATCTTAAAGGTCTTTTCCAACCTAAATAATTCTATGATTCTATGAAATTCAAAGTGGAAATAATGCTCAGTTTTAACTATAACTAAGAGCGATGTCAGTTCTTCATTATTGGAGGTCTCTGAATCTCAAATTTATTTTGTTCTTTAAGACCTTCAACCAAAAGGTATGGATTTAATAACTAACTGAAAGTCTGTGTGCTCTGGCAGATCAGGCAAGACTGTCAAAACAGGCCTTTTTGGCCCTAAAATCTCTAGCCCTGTGACCAACAAAGAGGGAGGATGTTTTATGGGGAATAAAATAAACATAATCTTTACTATCTGAGCGGGCAGGCCATTGGTGAGGGGAAGGATGCTCACTTAGCAGTCTTGGGTAGAGGCTCATGCTCTGGAACAGACTGCTGGCATGATTTTGGGCAGGTCTTTTCCCCTTCAGTGCCTCATTTCCTACCTGCACCCTCCCCAGGGCTGGCCTGGGGGGAATCCACAGGAGCCCGCTGGGTGCACAGATGCAAGGGGTCTTGTGAGGAGCAGGGAAGGTCTTTTCTCAAATAGAATCATAGAATCATAGAATCGTCAAGGTTGGAAAATACCCTAAAGATCATCGAGTCCAACCCTTAACCTAGCACTGCCACGTCCACCACTAAACCATGTCCCTAAGCACTACATCTACCTGTCTTCTAAATACCTCCAGGGATGGAGACTCAACCACTTCCCTGGGCAGCCTGGTCCAATGCTTGACCACCCTCTCGGTGAAGAAGTTTTTCCTAATATCTAACCTAAACCTCCCCTGGCGCAGCTTCAGGCCATTTCCTCTCATCCTATCACTTGTTACTAGGGAGAAGAGAC